CATAAGTGGTCAGCTGTAGAGATAATATGAATCATAAGTGGTCAGCTGTAGAGAGAGTATGAATCATAAGGGTAGTTTTTTTAGTATAAAGTTAACCTTTGTCTTATTCATTGTGTGTGTGTACCATGTATTTGTAGTCTTGTCTACATTTGTACATAGTAAGATTAGTTTCTCATGTTAAGTATGTGTGTGTGTGAAACCTTTAAGTGAAGTCTGTTCAATGTTTCTCCTTCATGAAGTTAGTGTTTTTCAAGTTGACTGTGTGGGTATGTATATGTAGTCTTTAATTGGAATATTGTAAACATTTTTCCTGAGTGAAGTTAGTGTTGTTTTTTTTTATGTTAACTGTATGAGGAGCTTATAGTTCTCCTTATACAGGATTGGTCACTTTGCTATATTTTGACTATGCTTTACTATAACTCTTAATGTATTAAGTGTACCTTCATGAACTTTGACAAGCTTTTAATAAATATTACAAGTCTTTTGTGCCCCAAAACGGATTTTTTAATTAAATATTTTATGAACAGTTTGGCTGTTAGTTTATGAAGTCATCTGCTAGTCTTCAGTTTAAGATTACAAATACAGTTTTTTTTCATTTTACAGTATACAGATTTCATTTGTATAACCTCTAGAACCTTTTAAATGAATATCAGAAGTTTTATTTACTACAACATTATATTTTATCCATTATTTTCTCTACCTTAACACTATATGGGCTAGGTCCATTTTACTGACCATATAACAACCGTGAAAAAGTACGAAATAAACATAAATTATGCTTTTTCCTTTTTAGAATGACTGTTGGTAGCAACAGAAAATGATAATTGTTTATCCTAAACAGCCTCAGGCTTGTAACATTTTACATCAGTTTTTACTTGATTTATTATTTTATTGCTCTTTTTAATTTCATCAACTAAGCACAAGTAACAAAGCTGTAAACATCCAGCGAGCCAATAGCTCAAGTTATGGTACAACAAACCATGTAACCCAGCCTGTGTGCATGCCTCATTAAGAAGTACTTTACTTATTTTCTTTATTTATGTTTTTTATCTAAGCTAATAAGTTTCTCATTTTTTACATTTTCATTTACTTTATAATAATAAATAAAAAATGTACATAAAAAAAAATGTAGTACTTACATATGGGTTTTGTACAAGTGTTGATAAAAGTTAACCCTAATTTTTGGTAGGATTATTTTTAGTACTTGATTGAATTTTTATTTAAAATATTCATTTTAGAACACAAGTAATAATAAAGGTGGTATGTGGTCGTAGGGTGTGTTATGTGGGTGTGACTTTCATGTAAATCAATATGATTATAGCCTATAAGATTAGATTATATCTCAGCAATATCTATACTGTAATTTACATTAAGAATCAAAAGCTCAAGTATGAGTGAAAAGATGTTTAAATTGAGCTATTTGGAGCAAACAAGTGTCATATGATACAGAAAAGCGAAGACTGAGAATTTGTTTAATCCTGACTTATATTTTCTGTTTTAAAATTTTGTAATTAAATAACTGAAGAAATACAAGCATGAAGTTTTGCAACATCTTGTAGCCCAGCTCAAACACTTTTTATTATAATGTTGTTTTTTTTTACTCCAGTAAGTAGTGTTACCCCCTAAGATGCCAACTGTGGAAGAAAAGTCTCAATGCATCGTTTCTTTTGCAGGGTAGGCCAATTCCATAGCTTCCCCATTCTCCAGATATCATTCCACTAGACTTTTTTTTTCCTTTGGGGATATGTTAAGGATATCGTGTGTTTAACCTTCAACCAAAATCTTGTTTAAATTTTTCCTTAGTGTTTCTCCTATTCCTCGTGTGTTTAGCCTTCAACCAAAGTCTTGTCTACATTTTACTTTGATTAAGTTAGTATTTCTCCTGTTGGCTTTGTGTGTTGTCTTTAAGTGCATGGAGTTGGTTCATTGGATCGACAACATATTAAAGAATTAGAATTTACTACAATTTCGAATTTGCTTAGTGTATCTTCATTAAACTTTGTAATCTTTTAGTAAATGTTACAAACAAATCAGAATTTTTCATAAAGTACTTATACTAAAGAGTTGGCAGTTTTAATCAGTCTGACTCAGACTGTTTATTAGTTTACAACTGTATGAAGCTAGTAACAATAAAACATATTGTGATATATAAACCTGACAAGTGTATGAAGCTAGGAACAATAAAACATATTGTGATATATAAACCTGACAACTGTATGAAGCTAGGAACAATAAAACATCTTGTGCTGTATAAACCTGACAACTGTATGAAGCTAGGAACAATAAAACATATTGTGATATATAAACCTGACAAGTGTATGAAGCTAGGAACAATAAAACATATTGTGATATATAAACCTGACAGATGTATGAAACTAGGAATGATATAACATCTTGTGATATATAAACCTGACAAATGTATGAAGCTAGGAACAATAAAACATATTGTGCTGTATAAACCTGACAAGTGTATGAAGCTAGGAACAATAAAACATATTGTCATATATAAACCTGACAAATGTATGAAGCTAGGAACAATAAAACATATTGTCATATATAAACCTGACAACTGTATGAAGCTAGGAATGATATAACATGTTGTCATATATAAACCTGACAAGTGTATGAAGCTAGGAACAATAAAACATATTGTCATATATAAACCTGACAACTGTATGAAGCTAGGAATGATATAACAATATATATCACAAGATGTTATATCATTCCTAGCTTCATACAGTTGTCAGGTTTACACAGCACAATATGTTTTATTGTTCCTAGCTTCATACATTTGTCAGGTTTATATATGACAATATGTTTTATTGTTCCTAGCTTCATACACTTGTCAGGTTTATATATGACAATATGTTTTATTGTTCCTAGCTTCATACACTTGTCAGGTTTATATATCACAAGATGTTATATCATTCCTAGCTTCATACAGTTGTCAGGTTTATATATCACAAGAACCTGACAAGTGTGTAAGGTAAGGAGTGTGGAGTGAAAGACAGTCCAACTTGATATAAAAACAAATAAGAGTATGGACTTGAAACATGAAGATATTCTATTTTAATACTTATAATTCAAGGATTTTTTAATATTTTAAAGTTTTTGAAACTTGTTTAGCACTATTGTGATTAGTTTTTGGTATGCTGACTGCATTTTTCATGTTTGTTATCACTGAATGGATTATATGTGTAATAAGGAGTATAAGGGTTTATTGTGAATTTTTTGTCAGTTTTATAACATTTTCAGTTAAATACAAATTAAAATGTTTTACAAGTAGTCCTAAACACATTCTACTTACCTGATCAAAGGTGTTTTGGTAGCTTATGGGAAACCTGGGTCAGTTGTTCTTTAGAAATTTCTGGCTTATTAATATTAAAGATGTATTTATGCATGCTTTACAATATCCATTCATGAAAGTAGGCCTACTACTGATTTTAAATTGAAGTCTCTGATGGTCGGTGTTATTGGTGCATTTTTCTGTAGAGCATTCATACAGTAGAAGTTAACCTGTATCTTTAAAACAAATTCAGAAAATTGGGGACAATATATTATACTTTTGGTTACAGTCTGCTACTGAACATTAAGTACAGTTTTGAAATGTAATAGATGGTTTTGAAGGAAGATTAATTTTCTTCAGCTGTAACTTGAGAAGTTGAAAAGTCTGGTTTTTATTTGAAAGTTTTAGACAAATACACAAAATCTATTATATTCATGCACTTTTAAAAGAATAGAAATATAGAGCACAATAATAATTAGTCAGTTCAGTAATTGGGAATTAACCGTTGTGTTGAATTATATATATATATATTTTTTTTCACTTTTATATTAATGTTTCTTTTTTTGTTATTGTTTTTCAGAATTTAGATAATTTTAATAATACTCCATGTTTAAATACATCAGATGACAGTGGATCAGATAATGACATCTTGAGAAGTATTAATAATGAGCTCAATTATTTGAAAGAAAAAAGGTACAAGTATACTAAGCATGATTCAGCAGGGAGTAGAAACTCTCCACGAGCAGAAACAGTAGGGACAAGGTCAGATGGCTACGTAGATTATCATATGGACCCGTCACGTTTCTCAGTTATTGATATGAATCCACCTTTAAATGATGCAAGTAAAACAAGTGATAAAGATACATCCTCTAGCTCTCCATCAATTTCATTCCAGCCTAACATCAAAGGAGTACAACCATTTAATGAAAGTAATGAGGAAATCTGTTCTGCAAGTATTGTAAAGTATCCATCAGACAACCAAACTCACATGAACAGTACCAGCACAAAAAAATCAAACACCAGAACATCAGATGTATTTGTTCCTCTTCCAGCTCACTTAAGGGATAGAAGAAACATTGCTTGGGAACTTGAAAGTGATTTCCCTCTTTTAACTTCAGATAAGCCATCAGTGAAAGTCACGAAAAATGAGCCAAGCAGTCTTGTGTCGGTAGCTAAGTCTCTGTTGTCAGAAGTACCCGTTGCATTAAATGCTGACAGTAGTATTGGCACTTTTAACTTCCCAAAGCCACACAATGCATCAGACATCCAGAAGTCACATAGAGATAAGCATGGATATAGTGCAAACAGTAGAACACTAGTCATTGAAAATCTTCCATCTAACCTAGATGAAGCTGGCTTGAAAGATTTCCTTGTTACCTTTGGCAGAATTGAAGATCTGACCTTACATAGGATTGGCAACACGGCAAGTGTTGCATATGTTTTGTAAGCAGTTTTTATATCTTAATATTATTTTTATTTTGAGGATGGAATATTTTAATATTTGTATGTAAAACAGTAGCTACATAAGCACCACAAAGCTAAAGACATTGTTTTTCACTTTATTTTCCTAGTAGAATTGAACTTAAAAAAATTATTTTATAGATTTTGTTACATGCTTGAAGTTGTCACATCCATAAAATTTTTGTTTGCTTCAAAATACATTTTAAATGATAAAATACACTAAACTTGGTTCATTATTTTATTATAACAGAATGTCACCAGAAGCAGACATGCAGTGGATCATTGAGTGTCTAAATGGAAGTTCCCCTTTTGGAGGTAAGTTGAATGTTTTATTAAACAGAATGTCACCAGAAGCAGACATGTAGTAGATCATTGAATGTTTAAACAGAAGTTCCCCTTTTGGAGGTAAGTTGATTCTGTTTTATTAAACAGAATGTCACCAGAAGCAGACATGTAGTAGATCATTGAATGTGTTTAAACAGAAGTT